TGAGACTTGCGAGAAAAGGTATCGATTTTGTAAGTACTTAAGAGGATTTAAAAAATTCGAAGTGGGGTAACATAATGATCCATAGAATTAACCGTCAGATCAGAGCACAATAGCCTTCTCGTGGATATTATGTGACATGTATGGCAGATATCAATGATCACATAAATATAACATCATTGAAATTGTTGGAATTGAAAAATTTCTTGTGCAACTTTTCTGATAGCGTCGGCCCCAGGGGTACGTAAGCAATAAGTATTTGTATTTGTTGCGTATTTTAATTTTTAATATGCCTTGATTCAGAACATATTTTTCATGGTTTCTTCTATTTTTTCAAAAACTTGTGAATGCGTTTATGTGACACTCTCTTGCTAACTCACACATACATTCAACCACGAGGATAACTACAAGAGTGTGGAATATTCTGTGACCGTGAGAGCCGCTTATTAACTTTATATGCGCAATTTTTGATTTCGACTGATTATTTCAAATACTGTGCCCCCCCACCCCCCCTCCCAAACATTGTGCGAATTAAGCACTTTCAATCTGACATTTGCAAATGCTTTTAATAAGCATCTTTTTTTACTTTGGATATTTGTACATTTCTTTCTTTCCCCGAGCCTTTCTCCTAAACTAGGTCAGGGTCGACTTTACGTCTATTACGATACGGCTGAACTTCAATTTTATACGCAAAAGCGACTGTCATCAGACCTCCGATGTATACTAAATACAACAATATAACATGCAATGATCTTAGACATCTTTAGTGTAACTCCTACATAAAAATGGCATGATGTTGTAACACTTGAGAGTAGGTGACTAAGGTCGCCAGTAGACACCTAAAACTCCAGATCTACAGAGCCTCCAAGAACCTCACTCACTCAGATCCAATGAGAGAATACTTTAACATCGGTTTTCTGTGAGGCCGTGGTATGACTACTGGAGCATAAACAAATAACGAGTATAAACATATCTAAATCCACAGTCAAGCGTAGTCAGAAGGCCTATTACTCGATTGTGAAGAAGACAAGAATGCTTTGGAATAATTTAGCGCAGAATATTTCTTAAGTGGAAGTTTAGTATAGACTAGTGTGTTTTTTATTTATTTTTCTCATCTTAAATGTTTTACTTTACTTTCAATTCTATTCCATCTTTTTCGTTACCTTATGTTCTCTACATTACTTTTATCTTTTAGTTCTTAATAACTTACATACTGGCGTACACATCAAAACAATGTTGTTTATATATTAAGTGATGCAACTGTATCTAGCTGTAATTAAAAAGAATGGCCGTGAATTTGTTTGCACTTTCTTCTCATAAGGCTTAACCCTTTGGAAACAAGCAGTTGTAGATTGATACAGGCATATAATGGATTAACTTCACAAAATAGATTGATGCTAATGTGTGTGTTGATCTATGACTTTATGCTTTCAATTGTTATTATTTGTAATAAATATTTTTTGAGTTTGTGTTTGAGCCGCCCCAAATGTTTAAATAAATTATTATTAATTGGAAGAATCCTAAACAAGGCTAAATCACTCGTCCATTACATGTTGATATTTAAGTCCCTAACGATTATTATGTAAAGTAATCTATACTTCCATAATACCGTTTAGACACAATTACATTAACGAGGATTTAAAGGGTGTTCAGCAAACGAACGACGAAATTGTAATACCTCATCCAATACCTATTGAATATTTAAATTGGAATTAACGATCAAAGACGATTTGTCAATTGCTTTACTAAAGAAAAGAAGTCGAGATGATCTGCGAAGGGAATAAACCGATAAATTGGGCGAGAAAATCCAATCACCATGCTGAAAGATATTGCCCGGGATATATTTGTATTTGACAAGTATGCATTCGACGTGAAACTCCGTGGACGTTAAGTATGTTTCTTTAAGCATACAAATATGACTATTTGTTAATTCGTCGCAGGATTCCTAGTTCAAAGTGATTTTTTTTCTGCTCTTAAAAAACGTAGAGATGTTTAATTCGGTTACATTTTTTCTTGTTTGTTTCCTTAGAAGTTACTTATTTATGAACAGGTTTAGAATTTAATTCTTTTTTGTTTGGGAGGGTATACTTTTTGTTTGATACCATTCAAATAAAAAAAAACCCTAAGGATGCTTGATCCTGAAAACGCTTCGAAGATGCTGGTATTTGTTTAAAGATTTTAATTGATTGATTAAATGAGAAAAATAAGTTTTTTTTTTTTTTATTTCATATTATTTGGGAATTTCTTTATTTCATTTTATTTCATATTATTTACTTGTATTGTAAGCACAGTATAAGTAAATAAGGTAATGAAATGCTAATAACAAGCTTCCACAGATACACAAGAAATATTCTATTTAAGTTATATTCTAAGGAAATGATTAAAAATGTAAGTAAATGAAAACACATGCAGAGCCAAGAGTCACAATTCATACTTTAGTAGTAAAGGTAACACTATCAACAAATCTGACAGTTAGATATGAACACTACCAGTACTTGTACTAAAAATACTATCGTTAGAGGTATACAATTCGAATAGTTCTGGAAGTCCTGTGTTGGTACATCCTGATTCATACGTATAGAAGTTTTAAGTATTCCAATTTTTGAATTTAGTTCCAAACTAGAAGCGTGTAAAAGGTGAAATTGTTGTGAGCACGTGTTTAACGGCACTTTGCTTCATTCTATGTACGGAGAATGATCACATTCCTAGGATCTATCTATTACTTTACACGAAGTTTACATTTAATTTCTTCATGTATCTCTCTGCGAAGTTCCTGTGTTATACTCATAAGTTTGGTACGCGGTTCATTGTGAGCTCGCGTGCCGCCGACTCTTACGTAAACACACTACACAGTACAACAAATATAAAAGAATTGAGATATGTACGTTTGAAAGCTGTTATTCATCTGTGTGTTCAGTTTACTTACTGCAGAGTACATTTTTGTTAGAACATTTTTGTTTCATTCTTCTTGTAAAACTTCGTATTGAGCACGATTATTCTATTTTCTGATTTAATAAACCTTAAATTATTTTCATCAGAGAAAGCTTTACAAGACAAGTACTTTCACTATTATACATTTCATGATATTCATGATTAAGTGAAAGTAATAAAAGCAAAATGCAAGAATGTGTTACAAATAGCTTTCCATTCTGTTAATAGAAACATTATTTTTTAATCCATAGAAAAATAATAGTTTGTACTGTTTTTGTATGAGATGGCGCAGATATTAATGAAACTATGAGTATTTAATTTTTAAAAACTCTGGATTTTATCGAAAATGTTAGTGCAAAAAAATACTTGAAATACAAAATCTTTCAAATGGACCTGCAAAATTCATAGTCTGATTTTTGGAAAAGTGCATTTTTTTTTGCACGTAGAATAGGCACTTTAAAAACATTCAAGAAACGGTCACAAAAAACATCCAGACTCAGAACAACAATTTGTGAATCACACAAAGTGTTGTCCCATGTGAGGATCGAATCCACAACACTTAGCGCAGTGGGAAGCGAGGTGACCGCTTAAATCACTACCCCATCCGTGCAGTCAAGTGACTATACGCTAAGCCTATATACAGAGGGAATATAAACAGTGATAAAATGGCAATACTAATTTATATACCGGTAACAGTAACGTTCGGAACTCGGTGTCATAAAAAGAATAATTGCTGGTAAATTTACCCAAAATCATTTTTCTCATTTCGAATATTTAAATCTTAGGAATATCATTTGAATATTTTTTGTTCTCTCTTTATTGCTTTTCTATGATAATTTAGACCATTTATTTATTACAAATAGATACGACAAGTCTGTTTCACAGTTAGTGTAACAACAATAGTTCATATACTGCACGGATGGCGCAGTGGTTTAAGCGGTCGCCACGCCGCTTCCTACTGCGCCGAGTGTTGTGGGTTCAAACCCCACATGGGACGACACTTTGTGTGATCCACAAATTGTTGTTCTGAGTCTGGGTGTTCTTTGTGTCCGTTTCATGTATGTTTGTAAAGTCCCCCGCGACACAGGATATATTCCTAATGCGGGAGTTATTAAAAAAAAAAAAATAATAATATAGAAATATAGAAATAAATGAGACTAGAAATAAATGGAGTAAAAACTTTTGTTTATTTTTTTCTACATGATTGACAATGAAAACATGAAAAATGTAAACTGTCTGTCTGTGTTCTTCCAGGCAACATTTGGATGGACTGGATTTATTTTGAACTGGTGATAGGTATATAGAAGTTCGAGCAATAAATAAGAGATTTAATGTTTGTAAGAAATAATCATTTTTAATCGTGTAGGGGCCACATGAAAAAAAAAGGTTCGTTGATGGTTAGTAACTACGCTCATAGGCACTGAAACTCTAGAGACATAAGTGTATTACCGTACTTTGAGTGCAAGAACATAAAATTAAAGTATTTATTCCAATATGATATGCATTCACGGGGCACATTTGTTTAAAAACGATACAAAGAATTCAATACGGTGTGTCATCACCCTGTTCGTCCTATGGGTGTCGTAACTAAGAGAACAAACTCTGCAGGATAACAGCACTACAAAGAGAAGGAAAAGTTGACCAACCCTTTTTTTTTTTTTTTTTAACGTTTGGAAATCCCCTCGGACCGTCACCCCACCGGGGATTGCGGCGGGGTGGTGTGTCGGACTCGGACCGACTAAAACCACACGGTGTGCCACTCTGCGCCTGTAATAGGAGGGATCCGGGAACAGCTGTTATTAAGACATCCGGACCCCTCCTAGCGCCGGCCCGCTTGTTGTTGACCAACCCTTTCTAAAGAAAGGTCTATGTCCCCTGGAAAAGTGTTCAATTCTGACAACTTTAATGAAATAATCAAAACAAGCCACGGACAACAGTATAGTGTAACATTTTCTTCGTAAGTATGCTTATAACATCAAAATAGAAAACTAAATTAAATAAAAAAGTGTTTATGAATGTGATCATATTTAGTCACAAATGCATTCGTTAGTCACAAAACTATAATAACTTACCTCGTTATCTTTATCGGCGTCCTTAATGTGCTGGGCGATGAAACGTACGCTTTGTAATGCAGCCGCTACCTCGGGCGACAAGTGACGGGGCAACATGTTCTCAGACTCCGTCACTATGGGAATAAAAGAATGAAATATACATCTTCATAAATTATATGAATTATGCTGTTAGGAATCGTAAGACTTTTTAAAGAGCTCCTGTAATAGTCTTTTCGAGTTCTGGATTCGCTAACCTGACTTCACTCTGCAAGCCATCCGTCTAGCAACGTTCAAAAACCGGATTCTAAATTTTTATTAGCTGTGTGTAAGCTATTTACTTTTTAAAAGAGATATTTCTCTTTTCTACCTTTGGCTTTTCATCTACCTTTCCTGTCAATACCCTTTAAATTTTCTAGGCCCCAATTACGTTAATATGACTTAAATTATCCGTGTGGTGATTGATTAAGCATACGGTTTGTCACCACCCTTATTCATCCCGTGATTGTCGTAAGAGCCGACTAAGGGAGCAAACTACGCAGGAGAACAGCACTGGAAAGAGAAAAACTTGACACAAAGCCTATGCCAACCGTGGTATAGCAGGCCAAAACCTCTTTCTAAAGAGAGCCCTATGTCCAGCAGTGGACTATTAAAGGCTTTTGATGATGATGATTACTCAAATTTTAGTTGAATTGTAGTATATGTATGTATATGTTTTAAATAATATACAATTAGTAACAATTAAAGGTGCAATTACTTACATCAGTAAAGTAATTCAGATTTAAATACAACTTTAACTATTTTCATTCAAATGAATTTTCAAGACATAATAAAATAACGTGCTCACAAGCTTCAGTCACCCTCTGACTATGGCCGGTGCGATGAAACGTAGCATCGGCAATAAAATTAACTCGAAATGCGTTGATATTTTCATAGAGATAATAATAATAATAGAACACTCTGTGTTGAATCTAAGTAACTGGTGATTATCAATGTAGAGCAGTATATGCGTCTTACCTGAAGGCCTTTGATGCGCTCCAGCAGAAAGCATGTCATCTTCTGGTCCAGGGGATTTACGGTAATCGCCGTTATCGCCTTTGGAGTCACCAAAAGCGTCCGTCAAGCTATCCCGACTAGAGGACCAAAAACAGACAAGTTGAAAAAAAAACAGAAAAACACAATTTTATAGTCGGGATTGAATACCGTGTTAATTAATGTGTAAATTAAGACTTAATCCGGTTTACCCTTCAATATTAAGGTCGGAAATTGTTCATAACGACGGATAATATTTTATTACATCTCATAAGTAATATCGCGATGAACCTTAATTTTTTTTGATGACACCTCCCACGCCTATAAGACATCTTTAACTGTATTTACTTTTGTCTTTATTGTAAATTTAAAAACAACCCGGACATCGGTACTCCATCATATACATATTTACAAGAATTGCTTGTTTAAATATTGGAATATATCCTGTGTCGCGGAGGACTTTCCAAACGTGCATGAAACGGACACAAAGAACACCCAGATTCAGAACAACAATTTGTGGCTCACGTAAAGTGTTGTCCCATGTGGGGCACTGGCATACTAGGAAGCGGCGAGATGACCGCTGAAACCACACCGCTGAGACACATCTAATAGATATGTCACAAAAGTTTATAAACAATAACGCTAGCAATATTCAAGAACCGGATTCTAAATTATTATTTTTAATTTTATTACTTTTTTACATATTTTTAAACAAACTGAAAATATTAGGGAGGTTACTGCTCGTACTGCGTAGATGACTATAAATCATCGTAGCATTGCGTAGCAAGCATATCAATAATCTACGATCTACTACAAAGACTGGCAAGAAAGACCTGCAGCTACAAGACGGTTTATCTACGGTATTCTTAACCCACTGCATTGTGTTTATCATCAGTCTATGTATGTCGGTATAACTCATGTATTTAAAATTAAGTATTTTTATTCACAATACAGTATATAAGTCTCACCTCATTTCCAACTCATTGGTATACCCGTTGGACACGAACGTGTCGTCATAATCCGGCAGAGAGTACTTGGTCCTCCGCATCATCAGAAGCTTTGGCATGAGCTGTAGGAACAACTTCTTCATCCAGGGAGACATTGTGTGAGTCGACGGTGACCTGTTACGGAGGAAATATGTTTAGCATTTGATTTTAAATTTCGAACTGTTACGATTTAAAACGATATTTTTATTCATTTTTTTAATTATTGGTTATAATTATGTTAATATTATATTGCTATACTATAGCTAGCAAGGAAAGCTGAAATTGGCTGAAATTAAGACATCGTCAAGCTGTTCCATTGATGGTGGAAGACCTGTTGTGTTGGTCATTTGCATCAGTGTTATTTAAGTGTACACATAAATGTCAGTTGTTTGGTGCCCGTGAAAGAAAGCAAGAAAGTATAAATAAAGTCTTAAACAGTCTAATTACAAGAGGAAAAAAAACGGACAGTGATAATATTTTGTAAACCTGTATATATATTAGCAATTACTACAATTTTTAGGTATAGGTATTATTACACATATTATTATTAATTGTATGAGACAAGAAGGCCACTCCGCTGGTATCGCTCCGCTTGAGCCGGCTCTCCTACGACTGTATATATTTTTGTTTGTGTATTGCTTGCGGCTTATCTATTTAAACAAAAGCTTTTTGCTTTCACTGTCTTTCCATTTAACTTACTTTTCCGTTACAATATACTCATAATTTTTAACGAGAACATTCTTTGAAAAAAAAGAATTGAGAAATTTCTTATATCAATCCGTTTCATGTGTAAAATCACATGCAGTGTGCAGGATGCATAAATGTCATGTAGTTACACGTATAACTATGGATAGTAAGTAAAGGCGCATATTTTGATACTTACTGGATACCTAAATCTTGCGAATAGTATATTGCTTCAACTATGTATTATTCTCAGCACTAATAGCTCTTATATCGCGATCTAATACGCAATATATCACACACAAACACACACACATACAATGTTACCGTTACAATAATGACAAAATAACAATGAAAACAAGAGATTTACTCCCCACACGCCACAACGTAGTGATGCGCCAATCATCAATTACTTAAGTTGTTGGAGATTTTTACTTTTTCTTGCTGGTGGTTGCCTTGTGGTTTTGTTTTTCTTGTAGAATCTTTTCAGAGTCGCCCAAGTGTTTTTTCTTCTTTTATTTTATATAGAAACACATACCTGGTAGTATTTAGAAATATAAAGTATACGTATATCCATACTTAAATATTTATATTATAAACGTAAAAGTAAGTTACGCTTTCACGCCTAAACCGCTAAACCCATTTCGAAAATTCTTTCACCAATAGAAAGCTATATTATCAGGAAGTAACATAAGCTACCTTTTACTGCGATAACCGTCATACACGCAGGAGGAGCCGTTTGCAGAAGCTATTATTTTATAAGTGTTAAAGTGAGCTTGTTTGTTTGTTACACTTTCACGCGTAAACCACTTGTAGTGAAATTACTGTTGCGTGTTCAGATACTACTTTATTACTCCTTTGTTAGTGAATTGTGTTAGTATTTATATTCTAATATTAATCATGTGTGAGCTAACTTCTTTTCTTTTTTTGAAGACCACTCACGCTCTAGGAATATACCCTGTATTGCGGGGGACTCAAAGAACACTCAGACTCAGAACAATAAGTTATACATCACACAAAGTGTTATCGCATGTGGGGATCGAACTCTCAACACTCAGTAGTTAGTAGTAGGAAGCGGACATTCAACCAGAGATTTAGCTGACTAGTAAAACTATTGCGGCAATCATAATAATATACAATAATAAATAAGGAAATTATTTGGGGGTTAATGTTAATGAGGTGACATACATAGTTGTAACAAAACAATGTACGTGATGCGCGTGTTATTTGCTAACACTAAACCGATTTCAAAAATTCTTTCACCAATGGAAAGCTACACTAACAGCGAGTAACATGGCTAATTTTTATAGCAATAACCGACATAAACGCGGGCGGAGGCGCGGACAAAAACTAGTAATAAATAAGCCTTAGCCGGTCATTTTTGCATAATCAAGATAACAATGTACACACAATAACTGTTGTTAAAATAATGTTCTGAAAATATATTATAATTTCAATCTAAATTAAGTTCATTAAAGGAGGTTCAAAAAAAAACTATAATTATACAAGGATATTCTGCAACTTATTTATAACCACAATGTTCATTCCATAACGCTTGCATTCTACAACAACAGCACTCACAACGTGTAGAGTATAGGCAATATTTCACACACTATTGTGTCGTTATCGGACTGACATTATTACAATGAAGGGAGAGATTTATGTACGCTCCTTTATAAAAGGAACTGCTTTTATGAGTCAAATATTAAATTGAAAGATTTTTGGAGATTTCTGAAGCTTTCAATAGCTTTAGGATTGTGGATGATGTGCAGAATAAATTTGATGGAGAGTCAGCCAATAAACAGGACAAGTTATACCAAGTTTCTTAAAAAATTTATACTTTAGACATCTCACACAAGGCTGTCTGATTCCAAACTAGAGCCTGTGCTTTGGTAACCAGACCTTTGATAAACATACTTATATATTTCTAAATACACACATATTATGAATAAGTTACACTCAGACACAAAATCACAAACTACTAGACCTGGCAAATAAAATATAAGTAACAATAAAATTAAGCAACAAAATCTAAAAAGAGTGAACTTAGAGTTTCCTGGCGGCATTTTTTCATTTCATTGGCCAAAAAAAAAAACGAAAACGAAAAAAAATGGGTGTGATTATATGATTTGTAAATCATATAATAAAAGCTGTGATTAATTTACAGAATCACTGCATCTTATTATTATGTTAATATTCTCGCAAAAGGTCGTGAATTTTGATTGATTATAATGGAATTTCTCTTCGTCTATCACCAAATCATAGTAGTGATTTATTCCAGGCAATCACAGTATCAATACCCAATCAGTTTATCATATGCTCATGATTTACTTTCATCTTATTACAACAATGACATGGCCCATCTTGAACAAGTTGCTACAGCTACCTTGAAACCAAATATATGAATGATGTTATGCAATATTATACTAGGAGTCAATATATATCCTGTTCAAATTCGATACTCGGTACGATTCGATTTGCAGTTGATTACTACTACACTAACTTTGTAATGTAAGGAACAAACCTCATTCCATCACGGTTACGTAAAGATTAATGAGTAAACACATTAGCTGGCTCTAATCAAGAACAAATTCCTTACCACTGTAGGCGACGGTATATAAATGGCAACCGAACCACACTGACGTGATGTTTGTAATTCACGCGTTCAACACAGTAAAATTTAACAAAAATCTGTGTTTTTTTTGAGTTAAATGTATTTTACCGTAAACTACCTTTATATAAAAACAGTAGTCATATATGATATGGGTTTTTTTTATGGTGTGGGTGGCAAACAAAATGGCGGATCATCCGATGGTAAGTGGCTACCGCCATCCATGGTCATGGCCATGGTCCATGGACGCCTGCAACTCAAAAGACACGAGTAAGTTGGCAGCCTTTGAATTTGAAGGTGGTACGGTCCACAAAACTGTCGTCGAAAATTTGTTTGAAAAATCGATTGTTCGAGCCAAAAGATTCGTGAAAAGCATGCATTGGTGGAGTGCCAAGTAGGAATAGAATATAATCGCAATCATATGTGATAAATCATATCTTTCAGTCATATAATCACACATGTGACTGATTTACAAAACCATTGTGACTTATTATTATTATTACGCTAGCGCAAGACTCGCGAAAGGTCTAAATCTAAAAAAAAAATGTTGTTGTCTTTGATAAACAGAAGTTTTAATGGATTTTAATGACATTTATCATTGTCTATGACGAAATCATAATCACATGTGAAATCGCTGTGACAAAACCTGAGTACCAATAATTTCCCTGTCTAGTGCCAACTATAAACATTACGTTGTCAATTTTTTTTCGTCATACGATTATTTAATATTTATTCCTCTCAATTACATAAATAATTTTTATGATTCCACAATTACACATATTACATTCTGTTCATATAATCTGAGTCCTTCTTGGAATAAACCCACGTAAACGAAACCGTGGGGATGCTAGTAATAAATAAAATAAATTATCCCTCCCTTTGCCCTGAACCCTATTCCCGGATTCCCTAGAGAAATGTACTATTAAAGTCTATTCGGGAAAGTTCCAAGCTCGCAACTTTAATTGGGATTTCATGAAATTAGCTAGCAAGAGCCATCGCTGCTGCTTGCAATGTCATAATTGCAGTTTTTGTCATTAACTCTATGTAACTAATGAAGAATTTAATTTAAATACATGAGATACACAAATAAGTATTAACTTTAAACATTGGCAGATATACGTTACTTTTAGACTAACCATTTTACTTTAAAATCGTTCGCACCTTTTAATACCTCACAAGCGGAAAGGTCAGAGGTTAAAGGTCAAAAACGGAATGCATCCATTTTGTCACACAATGTCACGCATCTCACACACAACCGTTTGAAACTAGTCAAAACTAGGCAGGGCCTGTATATAGTAACGAGATTGCTGATAAACATCTATACTTATATCATGAATTTGAAAGTGAGTTTCTTTGTGTGTTTATTTGTTAATCTTTTAAAAGATTTTAAAAATTCTTTCACCAATGGAAAGCTGCCTTATCAGCGAGTAACATAGGCTATCACAGAGTAACAGACACTATCACTTTTGACCCAATATCTTCATAAATATAACTGCACCCATTTTCGTACAAACATAGGATACACAGATAAAAATATTAGTTGTGTTGCTCACTTGAATATTTTCACCAAGAATATTTTTTTATTTTTTTTAAATAAAAAGTTGTGTTTAGAACGAACAAGAGTGAAAAGACCTAACCTGAAAGAAAGTCTGATAAGTTAATATGACGATCGATAGAGCTGATGGAGATACTTACCAGTATAACCGTGTTTAGTAGTAGCAGAATAACCTCTAATAATAATAATAATAATAATATATTTTACTACATACACACAACGCCATCTAGTCCCAAACTAAGCAGAGCTTGTACTATGGGTACTAGACAACTGATATAAATACATATATACTTTTTTTTCGTAAATACATACATATTATATATAGAAACACCCAGACCAAATCTCATGCACACAAATGTTTGTCTTGAGCGGGAATCGAACCCGCGACCTTTGGAATAGCAGTCCGTTACACAAACCACTATGCCATCCGGTCGTCAAAAAAAAAAAAATAACCTCTCACTATAAATTTGACGATTTTTATGATATAATGGTCAAAAGAGCAAACAGAGGCCCAAGTGTGAGTTTAGTTCACATCGACTTGCGAACGCGATTGGCGTTGCGATTGGTGGATATTTCAGTGCGGACGAGTACAAGTGAAATAATATCACACTTGGGGCTTAGGTCACCTGACGGTATACGACTACCGGCGACCATGGATACCCGCAAGTCTTCAGAATTATGGAGAAGCAACGAAAATATTGCTTAACCGGTTTTCGTGTGGCTCAGTCCGTTTCGTGTGGTGACGGATTAAGAATACGGAGAGTCACCACCTTTTTTCACCCCGTGGGATTCGTAAAAGTTAACTAAGGGAACAAAGTAGGCAGGACAATAGCACTGCAACGAGAAGAAAAACTTGAAACAAACCCTATACCAACCCGACTGGCCAGCTTGGTATGGTAGGCCAAAACGTCCTTTCTTAGGAGACCCTTACGTTCAGCAGTGGACTATGAAAGGTAATTGATGATGATGATGGACTGGTTTTCTATGAGGCCGTGGTATCACTCACACAGTAACAGTTTTACACACGCTAGTAAAGTATCGAACTCACAATAACGCAATAGTTATTTTTATTGGTGTAAAAGCTTATCATTCAAAACGCCCACCATACATGTCCCGGAGTGAAAACGCGTAGAATGCAAAGCATTCAATAATTCTACTCTATCATTTTTAAATACCTCAACTGCTTAAAGATATAACCATCTATCTCCTTACAGACTCAGAAGTGAGATTAAGAAGTAACATATTACAGTGCTAATCTCTTAAGTGGAGGGAAAAGACGTTGACACTCCACGGCAAAATCGCTTGTTCATTAAGTCACAAAGATATTTTTCTTAATTTTTCTTTTCTTTAAAAAAATTGCTAAGGACCAGGGAATTTCACCCGGCATTGGTTCAAAATCGTTAGAATATTTTTACGCAATGTGGTTACGCAATTTTTATTAATGTGATAACGCATAACTATTAGAATTTACTTCCAATATAAAGGTAACTAAGAGTGCCCACTACTGCCGTCACTGCTGTTTTTATGTATAGACAGGTTAGGGTTAAAAAGAGAAATAAAATCTGTTGCAAAACATTCATTGGTACAGCGTGTTATTCTTTGAGTGTTGGCGACCTAGGACTTCGACACAGTTAAAGGTAAGCACTTCACACAAATAGTCATTCACACAAATAGTAACATAAACTTTTACTTACCTACAGACAGTCAGTAATAACTCTTTGCAAGATCTCTGGCAAATTGATTCGTGTTTCAAAATATAGATCAATTCTTTAATACAAAATTAAATAATACATTTAATACAAATTAAAATACTTAAGAACTTCGAAATACTAAGTACTTCGAAATGTAATATAATTAATTGTATGTGAATAAAACGAAAAGATTAATTCATCTTAACGTATTATTATTTCAACAAGAGTTTTCAGAACTAAACACGAAAACAATTGTGTCATTTTAAAACGAAACTGACAAATTACGCATTGTTCGTTAATTTAAACGTGGGACTAACTTACAAGTTGCAAATTAAAAGGTGTGAAGATGTAAGGAAAAACTAGTTTTGGTTTGAGACAGGATGTCAACATAACATGAAGTAACGCCTACAGTAAGCTTGCTACAATTTTTTTAAGGTACAGTTTATCGTTTCACACTTTCACCACTTCCTCATCGTACTACATATATTATTTAGTTATACTCGTATTATTTTGAATACCATTTAACAGTTCTACTTAAAGCGGAAGAGATAGCGAGACTTTGGAAAAAATGAGGGTTAGACAGTGAGAAAGGAAGCTATAGACACTTTCTTTACTCACCTAAAGTGCACGTTGAGCACACAAACGGTCATCCAAACACTCAAAGACACCAAAATCATGGTGAACAGCAAATATTTCCCTAATAAAGGAATAGCGAGCGACGTCGGCGGGATAATTTCAGCCAGCAACAGGAAGAACACAGTCAGCGACACCAATATCGAGATGCTTAACGATATCTACGAGAAAAGAGAAAAAGAATATTTACCTGAAATGCACGTTAAGTATGCAAACAGTCACCCAAACGCTGAGCGAGACGAGTATCATGGTGAATAGTAGATATTTCCCAAGCAAGGGAATTGCCAGGGATGTTGGCGGAATGATCTCAGCCAGACCAAGGAAGAACACAGTGAGGGACACCAGGATGGAGATGCAGAGCGATATCTAAGGAAGAGAAGTCTCTTTTGAGTAACACAGTCGATGATTTCATTTTTGGTGCACTATACAATATATTGTTTTTTCTATTTTGACAACCCTAAATAATTATGTAACACAAACTATAAAAGGCTTCTTTCAATGCAGTTAGGCTAACAACGATGACAGCTAGTGCAAGAGGTGCAACCTACATGGGAAAATGCTTTAGAAATATGTTAAACTTCTTTATACAAAAAATATATGCAATATATGTCTGATAAGTAAGAATGTAATGGGCTTCTCGTTGTATTTCTGAAGTACCAAAGCGTTTTCCCATTTCATCTGCATTCACATAGACCTGTACATTTGTGGGTTACAAAAAAACACATACACTGTCAAACTAAAGCCAGGAATTGATATCACTGGCGAATTTTGTGCTCTATCATGATTAAAATCAAACACTAAACTCGTCAATGATATAATTCCTTTTCAAATGGGTTGTCAAAATCATTCAGAATATTCATTGGGTAGCGCACAAAAAATTTATAGCCATAACTATTTAATATTTCACATTGTCTTTCCACTAACACGAATCACAGTTCACAATCAAAATAAGTTATAATATAAAATGTATAAAAATCAATGAACGATTTTTAGGAATCATGCAGTGAGGGTGAGGTTTTGGTACCCGGAAATTGTAATATATATATAACATATAAAACTGGCACCGTAGTCTTTAACCCTGTGTACTTATTTTGCTATAATAACCAAAAAATTATTTTGTCCAGGATATAGGTATATTTCATTCTTGTAAAACTCAGGTAGCCAAACATATATTAACATTATTTTACGAGTTATTGATCGACTTCAAAGAGAGATCCAAATTATTGAAAATATTCTTATATCATACCAAATTTATACCTGATTATAATAAAAAATGATATCTGTATACAAGTTACACACAAATATTTTACTATATTTTTTTAGACTACAAAACCTCCTTCAGCAATATATGTTTCAAGACAATACAGATATCAGTAACAAAATCAAATAGATTTATCTAAGGCCTTTGATACAGTGGTCAACAACAGCATTAGGTTTGGTCGGGTGTGGAAAGACAATAACTAACAAACAATATTCAGATGATGCTATACACATTCACACGTAAGTCTAATGATTCAAAAAAGACCATTACCAATGGATGAGGGTTATGAAGGATGGTTTAGCGGATTGAAGGCTATTATGAACATGCCCTGAAACATCCCATTTACATTGAAAGCTATATCTTCACAACATTCTATCACGAAATTGATGTTTTCTCGTAAAACGTAACATTTATATATGTGTAAGTCTCCAAGCTTTTTAAATCGCTGTCATATTTTAGACACGTGATCCAACATTAATTATTGGTACTACATAATCCACTTTCATCATGAAGAAACTCATACGCACCAAAATTCGCACTTATTTTGACTTTATATAGCGAATATATATTAAAAAAAATAATACTATTACTTCTGTGGTTTAAATATACATGTTTGTATTTTATGTATTTTAATCCTATCAGCTTGGAAAATTATAATTTTTTCATTTCGTGATAGAACGTTGTTAAATCTAGCACAAACACACGCATCACAGTTATGAAGTATCTGCAATTACCTTTTCTCCAGAATCAGACGGTAGATAAAACACGAGTACTGTTAGAAACGTAAGTCCGACGCACGGTATTATCAGGTTCACTGTGTAGAACAACGTCTTTCTTCGCATCGTGAGCTTGAAGGTTATATCTGTAACATTTATATGGATTAGTGGTGGAAGTTTTTACTAAGATTTTCAACTTATATTCTAAAGTTAGTCCCGGTAACAAAAATATTCAAACTAAATGCCCCGGCAACTGGGACCCCGGTCTTAGTTAATGGCGGTCCCAATCGCCGGAATCCTTATTTGTGGCTTGTCAGTCGTTGGTAACTTACTAACAGAAACAGATATTTTATAAATCACTTATATCTTGGAATCAAAGAGATGTTTTCTTAAATTATTACTTAAAAATTTTCAAATCAAATGATTCGGCAATTGCGACCCCGGTTCTAGTTAATTACGGTCCCAATCGCTGGAACCCTCCAACAAACAACAATTGTAATAATTTTCTACTAAAAATATCTTCATTTCTTTTATAATTATGCTTACTTGGTGATAAATAAATAATAATACCCAAGTTCTTGACTCTTACCAGAGAAAGGTTCAGGACAACAAGGGTAATATTCTTCATTTCTCGTCGCTGGAACTTCCAAAATATCCCATTCCACGGAGAGATAGAATTCGCTTAAATCAATGCCAACATGTACAAGACTGCTGCCAGGAGACTGGTCCATGTGTTTCAGGTCAACCTAAAATACATGCAAAAATATCGTATGTTAATATTATTATTTAAACAGTAGGAAGGGAGGTTTCGGCGCCGAGAACCTCAATAACTCGTTGAAAAACAACGTAGGATTTGCTTAGCACTGGTTTTCTGTTAGGCCGTGGTAACAGGCCATTTCAGTCCAGCCTGGCCGCCATGTGCAGAAACATGGCATTCCCACGTTGAGAATTCTGGCTTTCAATTTTATTCACAACGAAGATACAAGGATGTTTCGACTTCCTGTTTGTAGCTGTGCTTTCTTTGTTAGTTTTAATTCTACTCGGTTTTACAAAGGATTACAACACAAATTAAGTATGATTTAGTTATTATACCTGAGCTCCGTTGTAGGTCCAAGAACCAAACTTCATGAAGCACGTCTGCTCGTCGAATGGAAAGTATTCTACGTTGATCTCGCACGAAGACTTGTAAATCGCTGGCGGCTTCCAATTCACTTCACCAGTGTATTTCAACGTAGCTTTAGTCATCAATGTTACCTGAAATTTAAACAAAAAGTAAGTAATATCTAGGTATCATATCAAGACATAAATATAGATTTATTAATTAAAATATAGATTATATTGCAAACCGTGCAAAGAATGAACTTCCATTGCATTAAATTTTATATATTTTACGGATATGCAGTTCGGAAAACTCTTTTTATTGTGAATTGTTCCAAAAACTGATTATTGACATTTTCCGTTACAAAATAAACCAACATAACATACTTCAATTATTTAAACATGCAAATTATTTCACATAACATTTATTGGTATATAATATTTTTCACATATGACATTTTACAACAACGCCATCTAGTTTCAAACTAAGCAGATTTTGTACTATGAAAGCTAAATTTACTGAATACTTTACTGATATAAAATTTAAGAGTTATCCAAAAATGCACATGACTACAAAAACAACTATAAATACTTACTTCATAGTTACCGTCCCAATTGTTATAAAGAACTATATCAGGTAACCAGATGTGTTCAGATGGCACATACAACATTTCAACTCCACCATAGTCTTCTGGATTCCATTGTAGCTTGTAATCATACCATTTCTGCAACAAATAATATTGTCGATCACTATAATTAATTATCATTTTCACAGGAAATTCTAATTCTATTTCTTCAATTATATTCTAATTCTATTTTTAAGTTTTAAAAATTTTAAGATTTCTCGTAGCTTCTTATTCGACCATAAACATTGACAACGTTGATAAAACTAGCTCTATATTGAAATGATTTACTAATCACAAATATTTGCAAGATAGACAGAGGCAGTAAAGGCTCCTAAGGATGGTAAATTTAGATGGAAACCCCAAATAGAGCCAGTGTCTTATCCGTACAAATAAATCATACTGCAATAAAAATCTTTTGAAAACTTATGCAGTAACTAGCTGTGCCCATCGGGATTAGCTATTTATCAGTAATAATCTCATTTGCATCGCTCATATATACCGTTTGAACCTTTAGAGGCATCGTAAAAAAACTGTACATTAGATACACAAACAATTACTCAAATTTTATTTCTTTAGTCAGATTAACTTGAACACGCTAACTGTCAAACTGTCCGGAAACTAGCGCAATTGCGTGCTGTGATAAAATATCGTAGTACACTTACCTGTTCTACCCAAAGGTTCGTAGTCATGACCTGGTTCTTCAGGTTCACTTCCATCAGCTGCGAAAGTTTGAGACCTAGTCTGACAGTCAAGATGTCGCTGACATTAGTCACCGGTCTAATAAGACGGTTGTAGTTGCTCAACAAATCGTCGTACAGTCTCTTCACATCTGGATTTGCTTCTAGAAGTTTCACTCCTGTAATGTTTAGAGAATGAATGATAAATGTAGGTAGTAATGTTAATTGAGTTACGAGTTATAAAGTTTGTCAAGTGTTTTTTAAAGAATAGATATGAGAACAGAATGTGCTGAACAGAAAGAGCTTCATATAAAATTGCAAATATTGGACTGACAGTAAATTAGCAGCTAATGATTTTAATTTGTTCCCAATATCCTTTGACTATGAGAGGCCTATGTCCAGCAGTGGACTAGTATAGGCTGTTGATGTGATGATGATGATCCTTTGACTAATTAACATCAATACTAGTGTTAAGGTTAACGTATAACTCAACACTCTCAACACTTAGTTCAGAGTGGCTATACCAGATGGCGTTTGACTTTTGAATTTATTCTCCTCCAAGTTCCTTAAATAAACCTTGAACGAAACTTTTTTAAAAGTATATTACTCGTATATGGTTAAGTTCTACAACACGACCGACCCATAGTTAATGCTTAATAAGCTCAAGCTTATTGGTTTTCTATTGAACTACGCCCTATATAAATTATTTAATTCCATTTACTGCCACTTTTAATTTTTGCCATTGAAAGAAATAGTCAGTAAAACTCTAATGTCAGTGTGAATATAAAAAAAAAATCATTTGTTTATTTCTTTCCCTCCCATTCCGAGAACTCGGGCCAAAGACTGAAACGAAAAACCTCATATCTTATATTCTTAAACCGTAACCATTTTGATTAGGACCGGAGATATGGAAAGCCAAGAAAACATGAGGAAATCACGTTTAAGTATTAAGAATTCTAAAAGTTAGGTAACTTCTAATTCTTAACGACAAATCTGTTCTTCAATACGAGTATAATTCATTAAAAAAAAATAAGCAAATCATTTCGATTCCAAAAAAGTCGGACCAGGAATGTTTTTTTATATACATGCATAGACATAGCCCCTTAATAACTTCAAGCAACCATTGAAATATGCATGAAAAAGATTATTCAGTTTTCTAAATAGGTCCACTATCTCTAATAACGAAAAGTTTAAAAATGTCTGTGTACTTACCGATGCAATTTTTTGCGTAGGTCAAAAAAATTAACAATATGCCCCACTTCATTTTAACTTGTATATTATTTGAGCTTTATACTTTATTTAAAGACATTTTCAGTATGTTTACAAATTGCAAGATGCTGCATGGAAGGCGAGATGAAGCGTTTATAGCGCAGGCGTAATCAATAGTGGAGATACGTCTGTTTTCTTTCGAATCGTTGCGAAATGTGAACTACTTAGTTCCAAGAGTCGAAAATAGATGGCAGTATTACATTGAACCTAAAATTATGTAAAATTAAAATAAAACATTTGTTATATAAATTTCATTCATAAAATAGTAAACTCTTACAAATACTATTTATACTGACCCGTTTCTTTGAATTAGTATTATTGAATTTATTATTATTTCCTTTAATTATTCATTTTTAAATAATGGGCGCTAATAAAATATGTACCTAAGATGGGTTAATTAGGTACCCAGCTAGTAATTTTCATGTCTACTTATCCTTATCATAACTTTAATATTATAAATGCGAAAGAGCGTCTGTCTGTTACCTCTTCACGCTTAAACCGCTGAACCGATTTAAATGAAATTCGGTATAAAGATAGTTTGAGTCCCGGAAAAGGACATAGGATAGTTTTCATCCGATAAATTATCCTTTAAGGGGGTGAAAAGAGGAGTGCAAGTTTGTAAACTTAATCAATAACAGCTGAACCGATTTAGATTTTTGGTATGGAGATAGTTTAAGTTGTGGGAAAGGACTTAGGCTATTTTTACTGTGATAACTGACATACTAAAAAAAGCTAAAGCTAAACGCGGGCAAAAGCTAGTTTAATATAAAGCTAAGCTAAACACCACATTTACCTAAGATCAAGAGCATTGCCACGGTGGGGCAGAGTGGGACGGTTGCCACCCTGGATGCTGTAATCGGTTCTCCAATATTGTGATTTTTAATTACTCAAAAACGAAAAACTGACTAGTACAACATGGGACTAATCCCACCCACACGCCCACCACTGTAACTCCTGTACACCAGGATCCACAGCAGTGACCCACGAACACACCGAGTTATGAGACTCGGGAAGTCCCAGGAAGAAATTAAACTGTCTTGGAACCCGCAACGAAATTAATCAGAAGAAAATTGGACGAGTTGGAAATACAGTAAATCCATTTCCCTCCTTATCAAAGCGGGAGACAAAATGAAGTAAAATGGGCATACACCCTTTTAAACAGGGAAGCACCACGGCCACAAAATATTACGGGTCCTACGTGAGCTATATTTGATTTCTATAATATGTATGGCAGAATCGCCTAAACGCACGGAAATTCACCCTAGTTGACACAAGATCCCCATAGTACGAGTATACCGCCCCAGATGTCACCTGCAAGGTATTCAGCATTATATTACGTTCATTATACCAAAGACTACATTCCCAGAGGATATGATGAGCAGACTGTTCATAGTGAGAGTTAGGTGTTGAGCATTGACACAACAAATAAATCCGGTTACATATACTCGAATCGGCTCGGAGCACGCGGGTATAACAGTGTATACCGCCACGCCTCCTTCCATTCCTTTCCCAATCAAACTTTAAATCACATCAATTGATAAATTCCTTACGTACCTGCTAACTACTAATCAGTGTGGGACTGCTCACAAACTTTACAAATTAAATTTTAAATAAAATCAGACAGTGTTTTCTCAGGCTTTTACTAAATATTATTTTATTAAAATTAAAATATATATTATATAAAATACTATGAACTTTCCTAGTTTTGCATTACCCTATAATAAATTCTAACTACTAACTATAACTCCATATCCATATGCCACATTTATACAACAACGGTTTCTTATCACTGGATCCCTTTAATACTTCCCGAAATTCGTACAAAAGTAAAATTGTTCAAATTTTGTCTCAAGAACAGAAATTGCCACAAAAACACTATCACATTACTATACCATTGCATATTTAAGATGCACAATTTTAGGTATATTCTTATGGAATGTTGACTCTTGCAGTGTATTTACTTTTAATTAATGTGTACTTCGTAATTAGCGTATTGTTCGACCATTACTATGTAAACTATATACTGTCAGCTGTGAAGAACCTAAGTATTAAATAAATAAATGAAGTATCATCCAAGAGCCGGACAGCTTTTTCCTCGTCTTTCTTCACTGCAATCTTCGTAGATGGAGCTGTTCGCGCGCCGTGTTTCGGCTAGTCTCGGCTGTCTTCGGAGCCGACAGCGGTGCGGAGGCACCAACCATCAGCTGTTCCCGGGGGCACGACTACTAAAGTCCGCAAGCATCGCACACGCATGGCGCGTGTGCGACTTTAATTGTTTATATTAATGTATATACAAATTTACAGTCCAAAGCCTTTAAATTATATACCTGTAGTTCAGGGATTTAACATTGGTCCTTCGAGCCGGATTGAAGGCTGACCCATATTTATGACTCACCTAAAACTAGCAAATCGAGTTTTCGGCTACATACAAGTGATGAAGACGGACAATTTGTCGCTACTATGCCATTAAAGGCCGGTCCGAACGTTTTCGGTGAGTCATATACAGAGCATTTCACACGGTAAAGAATATTTCCTCGATAGTTATAAAAACTTAAAAGAATCTTGAAAAACTACCAAATGCTTAGATAATTGAAATGATTGAATTTTTCCTTTTCTTTTTTATTTATGGTTTTGCCTTTTCCTGGTTATTTATCAAAAAAGATTTTAATGACAGTAATACCCTAAAAAACTAACACTTAATTATTTTGTTTTTTTTTTAAATAAAATGAATCACACATAAGTACATTTTTCGTGGGATATAAATTAAAAAACAACCAACCCTGTCTGGCCCGCGTGGTATAGTAGGCCAATACCTCCTTACTAAGTAGAAGCCTATGTCCAGCAGTGGACTATTAAAAGCTGTTGATGAAATTAAAAAACAAGTGAACGATAACTATTTATTCCTTCAAAATAGTTACAAATTACGATAATACTACCAATTTAAATGGATAAAACATTATTTTAAATATGAATTCGTACAATTAAAACTAGACTAATCACTATATTTACGAGTTTCTTCTTTTATCTTTCATTTTGCCTCTTAATGTTATAACTTCTTCTATAATTTCTGGCTTCGTGCGTTGCTTCGTGTTCTGTACAAATGCAGAAGATAAAATATTAATAAAAGCATAATTTTTACATCAGTTTAGTCGTTTAATTACAAATTAAATCCTGAGTAAAATGAAGTACCTGTGAAACGTTATGTTTAAAATGAAATGTTATGTGCGGGTTTGCGAAACGTTGTTCTATGAAGACAAATTACAATAAAATGATGAAATGAATACGTTTCATAGGTACTTCATTTAATTCCCAATTTAATTTGTGTTAAATAAATTAACATTGTTAAAGTAAAGTAAAACATTGTTAAATTATCAAAGTAAGGTTTTACAACCTTTTATTTTTTATTAATTTTACCTAGGAAATTTATTAGAAACCATTCATTTTAAATTAATCACAAACACAGTTATAGGCGGAGTGATGTTTGCTGAATTAAAGTAGTATTATGGTCTGTAAATAGTTAATACAAGTTTATTGTCTGTAAAACTCATAACATGACTGATTTCGCAATCTAGTACACAGTCTAATTATTTTTAAGCAAGTATACAATTTTAAAGTCTATTTATTTATCCTAATCTAATAACCTTGCTGCTTTCTTTAAAAAATTACCCTGATGCTACTGCAGCGCCCCCAATTTAACGCGTTGTGTCGAACACTTTTCATACATACGATGGTTCCCCTTAGCTCTACAGTCCATAACTTATAGAAGCAGAACAATAAACAATCACTTAACAGATCATAAATCGGATATACCACTCCGCCACTCGTTCACTGCAACTATGATTATGACAAATTTCCGTCACGTTGCTTGTCGTGCGCGATGTTATTCAATGCATTCATGACATGGTTGTACTATGTATAGGTTCATATACGTGTAATATTATCATCGTGTGCTACTGTTACTAACTTCGACTACTAAGATTCTAAACTTTCTCGGTTCGTTCTGAAGTAATGTATCTAGAATGTAGTATTATCTTGTAAAATACTACGTGACATTATGGCATTGCCCGTGTGGTGACGGATTAAGAATACGGATTGTCACCACTCCAATTCGTGGGTGTCGTACGAGCCGAATAAGGGCGAAACTACGCAGGTCAACAGCATTGCAAGGAGAAGAAGAACTTGAAACAAACCCTATATCAACCCGTCTGCTCAGCGTGGTATGGTAGGTCAAAACCTCCTTTGTGAGGAGAGGCCTATGTCCAGCAATCGACTATTTAAGGCTGTTGATGATGATGGTGATGATAATGATGATTATATTGACAAACGAGCAGACGGGTCACCTGATAGTAAGTAACTACCACCATAAAGCAACGAAAGAATTCCTTAACTTTCCTTTAATTCTTTCCGTCTTGCAAACAAAATGCAACCATCCACAACAAATAGATAGGAAAGTACTCCGTAACATTTACCTTGACTTAATATACCTATATTTATTTTTTAACGCTGAAAATATATTTAACGAAGCTTACCTCTTACTGGAAACTTCGGCAAGGGCCATAAACTAAATGGGTAAAAATACGCGTTCGGCAGCCTTCTGACTACTATTGTCTCTTCTTGCACCATTTTCGATCCTGAAACAAATTTATTGTAATTACTAAAACAGTGAGTAATGCCTACTAATATTATAAATTCGAAAGTTACTCTGTCTGTTACGATTTGGGATGGAGATACTTTGATTCTTAAGGAAGGACAGAGGCTAATTTTTACCGCTATAACCAACATACATGCAGGCGGAGCCACGCGCAAAAGCTGGTTAATTGTAAGTTACAGAAAACAGACATTCATTTCTAACAAGAGATACCTTTTAATTACACTTTTCAGTACTAATAAATAAATAAACAATATTTTATTTCGTAAAAATATAACCTTTAAATTACAGTTATAGACGTTCTAGCTACGTTGCTTTATTAAGTAGCTTAGCTAGATTAGGCTATTGCTTGTATTAAGAACAATCCGTCCAAAAATAAACCTAGATATGCATATAAATGTAGTACCCCATAAGATTAAAGAGGTTTGATGTTTGTTCCGTCACCTTAAAAGTTTAGGTACCCTTCTCAATGGACACCGGATTGCTCCTAATAAAGGAACTAATGTATAGGCAGAATAGCATAATTAACCCGGAACCGAACTATAACACGCATCTGTCTCTAGTGGAATGCGGAACGGGGAAGGGCACCCACAATAATAAGTACCTCATCCTAGTAAGCAACCAGGAAGAATGGTGTACACTCAATGTCAAAGATGTATGATTAAAATATGATGTTGCCTATTTATATTGTTATGTAATGGAGTAAGGTAGCTTCCTCGTAAATGCGGAACCTTAGCATGTAATAGTACATTTGGGATGATAATCTCAGTCTGGCAGATTTTAGTTTTTTTAATGGCCTCCTGGCTAACTCCGAGTGCAAAATTAGAAAATAAATTAGGCCAAACGTGGCTTTCAATTATGATCACATTTCTAGTACCTAATAAAAGTTTGCCATTGTAAATATTTGTATGAATGTACAACTTTTCTTGAGTATAGTTCATAACTGTCAACTTACGCCTACTACGCCATTTCACGCAGTAGATAAAGACCCTTTATCTCTCTTAAAAATGCTTTTTGTTTTTACTTCCAGCATATTATTATTTAAGAGTGCATTTATAAACCTACACTATTCATTCTTCGGGATACGCTGAACCTAATGGCTCTCCATACCTTAAAGAATGATTATTATATGAATGAAGAAGGATAGAAACAAGTGCTAAGCTATTGTCCACCACTTTTTCTATCCTTACATACTTCCTGAGCTCAGAACTTTATACACCTTTTTTATGTAAGTGGCAATGTTACAAACCGGTCCCTAAATGGTGAATAATCACCGTCGCCTATGGACTAGGAGTCAATAGTGCGTTTAAACTATAAGTGCTACGGGAGAAAACCTCAGTCATAACACGAGTGTTGCCATATGGAAGTAAACAGTACACCTCGTCAAAATACATACATAGCGTAATCTACGATTAAATAAATTTTAAAATAATGATCTAATATTCTTCTTTTATTTTCTCCTACTCTATGTTTTAGTAACTTTATATTATGGGCTGAGTGAACTATAGTGCCACTTCTACCATTTTGCACTAGTGACTTTTGAGGTGTCCTTGAGCGGCGGTTGGTTTACTTTCACTCGTCTGCTCATTTCCCATTTACCATATATAAATAAAAAGCCATATATAAATACCACATCGCAGACGAATCGTAATCAGATACATACAGAAGATTATCAGATTCCGATTCGTTCGCATGATGGTCGACATCAGACATCGTAGAGGATACAATGAATCAAGACTAAATTAAATTTTAAAACTAAGCAAACTAAATTACAAATAAAATTACAAACTAAATTTTAAAAACATCTTATTTTCCAACGGTAGTAATGATTACTAAATGAAACTACACTGACAATAGCACTGCAATGAGAAGGAAAATTTGACACAAACCTTATACCAACCCATCTGGCCAGCGTGGTAGTGTAGGGCAAAATTGCCTTTCTAAGGAGAGGCCTATGTCCAGCAGTGAACTTCTTAGTAACAACGATTTTTATTTATTTTAATACAGAGTATTTACTGTGAGTTTGAAAACGTTACTACCAAAATCAACGAAGTTTCATATAAATGTCCAACCCACATTTTGCACCCCTAGTGGTGGATCGTCGTCACGTCTAAGGAACATTAGTACAAAATTTCACGCTTCTAGACCCATCGGTTTCAGTCGTGCATTGATCGATAAGTCAGTGAATCAATCCGTAAGTTTCTTCTTTCATAGATATATAGATAGATTACAGAGGGAAATGACCAAAATTATGCGTAAACTTGGCTGAGCGATTGATTTTTTTTTTTGGCTTCTCTACTTATATGTAGTGTGTATTATGATTGTATGCTGTGGATGACTAAATTATCGTAAAAATAACAGTATTGAATATTTATTTCAATATCCCCATAATAAAATAGGAGTGTTAAAAGCTGTGAGATATACTCTAGTTTATTTATGCAAAGGCGGTACATCAATTTTGCAGGCCCTAAGGGTCTCGTCGTGTAGTCGCCGAGCTAATAAATACCGTTCACAGTACAATAAAATGTTGACAATTGCTCTACCAGCTACTTCCCGGTTGACAGTAGCAAACTACGATTTTTCACTTAAGACAATATGCATAAAAATGGACACGAATACGCAACAGATTTATGGGTATATTATGAAGATAATTTCAACTATACAATTGAATGTAGGCTATCAGAAATTATTAATTCAGGAACTATTTTAACTATCAGACTGTTTTTAGAGTTGAGAAAACATGGCGAATTTCAGGAGAAAATCCGAACGATATGAAAAAACTTACATTTAACATAATTTAGTCTTGAAAGGAAAAAGTTCTAAGTTGTAAAGTTTTATAAAATTTTGTAATAATTGCCGTTCTTATGCATATTGCCCCATGGGATGAGATGAGAAAAGTATAAAAGTATTTAGTTTTGTTCTTGTAAATCTACTTGAATTTTTTATTTAATTTTATGAAATCTAATTGCAAATTACTACACATATAGATAAGAATTACACATATACAATTTTATTATAAACAGATGATTTGACGTTTTTAATACTTTTTGCTTTTAGAAACTCTTTCTTATATCCCTATAATTGTTGATATTTTCAGTAACATAATCATTATTTTAGATGACGATACTTTTTGTCATACTGTAGAAGCAATGAAATAAATTAAAAGAATCTGCTTAACTTTGTAATAGAGTTACACGAATTTCGACTTGATGTACTAGCAAAAATGTTGACTTTACAAACATGCATGAAACGGACACAAAGAACACCCAGACTCAGAACAACAATTTGTGGATCACACAAAGTGTCGTCCCATGTGGGGTTTGAACCCACAACACTTTTGAACAACAACAAACGAAGCGGCGGTGACCGATTAAACCACGTTATCCGTGCAGTCAATGCAAACTGCAAAAAAAATGCAAACTGAGATGGTCTCATATAAAGTAAGTTATTGTAAACGGAATAATTGTCATGTTTTATCATGTTTTCAAGAACCAGGTTCCGATATTTCGGCACTGTTGTAAGCGCCATAAGTTGTATACAGGCGGACTTAATGCCCACAGCATTCTCTGCCAGTCGTCCTTCGGGTGATGTAGAAAAATGATGCGATAGGGGCAAGAGTGAATAACAAATTTTTGTAAGGTATATTTTATTTTGTACACAAACTGCGCGTGAGTGGCAATAATAAAGCCAGTTAACGAAGAAGATGACATTTGTAATTTATATGAATTAATAACCTTTGATTGAGCGTAGGGGCTACTGTACCTCAAAACATAGATAACGAAACATTTCCTACTTGACGATAAACAAAACACCTGAATAAATTGAAATAATGGGACTTCAGTTGTAGCATCTTCAACTCAATCGAAATGTCGTCATGGAAATTGTACAGGAACTTATCAGATAGAGATATTATATAACAATAATTTACAACTTAGAAGTGAATAGGCCCAAAGCGAAACCTAGCCCTAATCTGAACCTATTGAAATTTCACTGATTTCCTATAGTTTTTTTGGGTACCTACAAGTATGTTACTCGATATTTTCTCGATTTAGGAAGTTCAAAACTTCTCTTTCCTTTCATCATTTGCCGCATTCTGAACAAAGTTCAATAAATTTATATTATTTGCATAGCGAATCTAAATAAGTATACCAAATTGGGACTTAAGTGAGCCTAAGAACTATTGCTACAGTTATGACGGCGATTGCTCTCAGTAACAATAACCATAAAGAAAGACCCTCTTTCATTCTAAAAATAAGCGTATAAATAAATTGAATGAAGTTCAACAGCAGTGTATCTGCGGTTCATAGAATATTAAAGCTTAAAATATTTACAAGTCAAATGTAACTAAACTAGGCTATTGATATTTCGCATGTAACTCTTTCTGTCTCTTATTATGTGAAAACTATCAGAGTGGTAACCACGAAGAGACCAGCGTGTGGTACACTCTCTGTGGGCTCTGGGACTATCTATCTCCAATCAGAATGACTATTTTCCGAGCGAAGTATCGAATCACCAGCTCAACTTTATTCTTGTACCTATCTGTTAATTCTTCTTATAAAATAGAAGTCGCTTCTTCACAGCAAAAAGCTGAACAAATCTTTTTTTCTAAAAACAGACCATAGATATCGGTCAAGTTATGTTGACATCCTCAATTTTACAATTGTCTGTTGGCTATATCACTGCATTTAATGCTAGTTAAATGAATAATAATGTTATTATTTTTTCGTCTACTGAAAAATATTATTTTATTAGCTGTAGCTGCTATTAAGGACCAACCGTGTTTTTTATTACGGTAATAAAGATCTTGCAAAAAAGAAAAACTGTCTAAAATTTTTAAAGGTTTTATTTCCATTAGCAATAGTCATTTTTTCCGGATGACAGATATCCCTATATATTTGATGACTATTAACAACCGAAAACAACTCACATTCGTTTTAATGTAAGTTCATGACGACATCAGTCCTCGAACAAAGGAAACTTAGC